ACTGGAACACTATGTCATATCGGAAATTGTGTAGAAGTTTTTTTTAAATACATTTCCCATTAATAGCGGCCATACTATTATCGCAGGCGAACAATCCGATATCGCTGTACGTCCGGTCAGTGATTCAACGTCATATTGGAAAGTGTGTAGATCTTTAATATTTCGACTAATATTCCAGTTGTAGTCTCGAAAGTATATACTTGAGCGAACTTCGAAAATGTACGAATATTCGAATAACGATGTACTACATTTCGTTTCCGTGATTCTATGTTTATGTACGTGTATATATACATTATATATATATATAGATATATATATATATATATATATATGTATATATACACGTACATAAACATGTGATTCTATGTTTATGTACGTGTATATATACATATATATTATATATATATATATATATAGATATATAATATATATATATATATATATATATATATATTATGATATATATTATATATACATATATGGACATGCTATGCTGTGTTATCGAAAAACTGTAATTTGAAAAGAATATATACATCGAACGGTTCTAATTCTATTATACAGGGTGTCCGCAAAGTTGGGGTTATCCTTTACACGACGTGTAGATCTTGAAAACATAAGCAATTTTTCTTAGTGCCATATACACCAATATCTTAAGGGAACCGAGATAAAGGGCTCTGCAACATCAAAAATATCTGAATACCGTCCTGTAGCCGCCACCCGCCGCGATGCCCCAGACAGGTACCGGCTACTAGCTGAACCCGACGACAGAACTGGGTCGGGGGTGGGGGTCCGAGTGTCAGGTCAGTATGCAACCTTCAACCGACGGTAAAGGGTCACGCGTATAGAGGTATAATAAATATAATAATAATGGCACACTCATATACCAATAATGAACTCGTTGATATGTTGTTATTAATGAACGTCTTCAAAATGATACAGAATCGTCGCGAGTGTATGCAGATCTTTTCCCTAGACGACATCATCCAAGGCCCCGCAGATTTGTGTACCCGGTCCAGAGAGTCAGGGATACGGGCCATTTGGAGGAATATCGAGGTGGGCACAGTGGGAGGTCTAGACAACCACGAATGGTGCTAGTTGAGGAAGAACTACTGAATCGCGTAGACGAGAATCCCTCAACAAGCACTAGAGACGTGGCTAGAGAAGTGCGAGTATCACAAACTAGAGTGTGGCAAACGTCCAACCTGACGATTTTCCAGCAAGAGTGCGGTTTTGTGAGTGGTTGTTGCATCAACATGACAATAATCCGGACTTTTTGAAGTGCATATTGGTGACAGACGAATCTACGTTCACACGTAATGGGGTCAACTGGAGAGTGAGTACTTTTTCCTTTATATATTTTTTTACATGGTCGGCCCTCGTTTCACTACGCATTACCTTTGTTATTTCAAGGGTAGTTGTTTCTGAAAAGGAAAAGCCCAACTTTGCGGACACCCTGTATTAACCTTCGGAAATCGTGGATACCCTTATGTTGACTGATTTCGCTGTTGAACAATAAAAACAATGACACTCCGTTAATACTATTAACTGTTAGAACAAGTTACCATACACCGATCCGCGGGGAAAGGAATAAACGATAAGTAATCAATTTTGGGCAGTTAACATCAATTAAACTCAGAATACCAAAATAAAAAGGATTTTCCGTTGGCAATATATTCGGTCTGCTGTTACTTATGGGCTATAAATGTATAAAAAAAATTGTGTTACTTAATTTTGTTATTTTACAAAACGGTCTTCGTCTTCTTCTTCTTCTTCTGCTACGGTCTTCACACACACACACACACACCCTCCTACCCTGTGCGGTCCCTCCACCACCCCTGTTCCAGGCAACCTCAAACCCTTGAGGAGTGGGGGGAAGAGCAATCAGCTCCTCCCCCCACTCCCGCCCAAAGGCCTGGAGTGGCGCTGCGTGGTTCAGGCCGCTTGCGCATTCCCCGAGTGTGTGCTGCCGAACGAGCTATCCCCCCTTCCCCAATTTTGCCCCTTTTTCCCGAAATTTGACTCGATCGCGCACGCGTCGCGCGCGAAGCGCGTGGTGGACGTTTCTTCCAACTGTCGGTTCTCGACTTTATGGCCGGCCTCTTTTCTTGGGGGGTCCTGCGCTGGGGGCTTTCGACCTAAGCCCCTCCTAAAGGTTGGTGAGCCTTCGCTCTTTCCTCGTCGACTGGAGTCAGTCAGTCGTCGTCAGTCAGTCATATTTGTAAGGTCATTCGTCTCCTGAGGTTAGCCCCGAGTCCGTGCTTGACTCTGGCCACTCTCAATCGACAGGCTTCTTTTTGTCACCGTTGTACACGGGCTGTCTTTCCCCTCTTGGGTGTACAACTATTGTCGGTCTTCTCCCCTTTTCTTTGGGCCTGATCAGCTGCTAGGGCCAAATATCTTCTTGTTTGCAGCTGGCTTTTCGGTCTTTTATGACGCCTTATTGTTCTTGGTCGTAATCCAAGGCGGCTTCAATCAGCACATTTCTTTTCAAAGAACTTTCTGGCCCTCTCTCTCATCTGGATTACGACCGGTACCTGTCGTAGTTCGTCATATAGCACTCTGTTAGGTACATACCACGGTGCGTCCACCGCTTCACGGAGTGCCATGTTTTTTGAGCTTGGAGCCTCTTCTTCATCGTTTTGGAAAAGTAGCCCCCAAGCTACTGCTGCGTAAGTCATGATTTGTAGCGCACCATCTGAATCATGATGGTCTTATTCTTTAGTGACACTTTGCTTCTTCTGCCCGTTAAGGGTCTTAGTTTGGAGCGTGCCATCTTCACTTCTGCACCCGGTCTTCGACATGGTTCTTCCAAGTGAGTTTCTGGTCCATCTTGACTCCAAGGTATGTGCTGGAGTCTTCCAGTCGACCTCAACCTCTTCATCTCTTCTCCAGCTCTCTCCATTCTGGTGGTCGTCATCTTTATTTTGGTCTGAGGTAATCTTCGATTTTCTTCGGAACAGTACCGCTTCGGTCTTCTCGGGGTTGAGGCGATCTTCCACTTGATGCACCATTCCTCTAGGTTGGTGGTCGCTCGTTGCAGATATTCCGTAACCATGCGGGGTCTCGTACTTTCTGCCGCATATGCTGTATCGTCCGCATACACATACAGTTGCGTTTGAGGAGTCTTCGGGATGTCTGAGCTGTAGATTGGATACAGCAGGGGTGGTAGAACCGCTCCCTGCGTGGTACTCCTGCCCTCCACAGTCCTCGTCGTCGAGGTTGTTTTACCGATCCTAATTCGGAAATTTCGGTGCTTCAAGTAGGACTTCACCAGTTTGGATCATCCCTTTGAGTATCCGTGGTCTACCATCTTGTAGATCAGTCCGTCATGCCAAACAGTGTCGAACGCCTTTGCGGCATCCATGAAACACAGCTCCCACGGCCCGCCGAGTCTGGAACGATTTCGTTGCCAATCTCGACCAGCCTTAGGACCTGGTGCTCTGCGAATGCCCGCATCGGAATCCGAACTGTTCGTCTGGAACTACTCGGAGTTCTTCGGTTTCGTTCTTCAGTCTTCGTTCGATTACCCTTCCGCAATCTTGCTCAGTGCCGTAAACAGGCTTATGGGTCTGTAGTTTTGGGGGAACCTTGGTCTTTCCCAGGTTTAGGAATGTTGATCACCTCGGCTACTTTCCAGTGATCTGGAAAGTACCGGTGTCTCAGTATGGCGTTGACGATGTTGGTAATTGCCATATCGCTTTCCTCGGGAGTCTCTTCAGGACTCTGTTCCCAATATCGTCTACACCCGGTGCCTTCTTCACTTGAGTCTTTCGATGATTTCCCTTACCTCGCCTGGAGAGGGCATGTCTTCGATGGCTCTTCCTCCTCTGACAGCTCTCCTCGATCTTCTCATCACCTCGTCGATGAAGTCTTCGTCTTCATCGGGGTGAGTATTGAGAGTACACTGTCTCTGAAGGTTGTCAGCAAAAGCTTCCGCCTTCTCTTCGGTTGTGTACACCATCCCCCTGTTCGCTGTGTATTGGGGGGATGGGCTGTCTTCTATTTCTGAGGATTTTAGCCAAGTTCCACATTTCTGGGTCAGCTGGAGATAGTTTCGTCGAGTTTCTTATCCCAGGTGCTCTGATGGTGCTGCTTCAAGGCGTCTCGTGCCTGTCCTCATAAGTCTGTTTGCCACCATGATGTCAGTGGGGCTTCTGGTCTCCTGGGCTACTCTTCGGGCTCTGTTTCTTTCGGTGATCTTGCGATTTACCTCGTCAGGTAGGTCCCTGAACCTGTTTGGTTGCGTTATGTCTTCCACGGTGGTTGCGGCTTCTAACGCAGCCTTAATCTTCCTTTCTAGGTCCGTGACAGCTTCTTCTATGCTTTCGGGGCTTTCGATCTGTAGTAGTGGTCCTTGTGAATAGTTGCAGTCTGGTTCTAACCGCTGCCAATTCACTCTCTTCACTGTTCTTTGTTCCACAGGTGTTATCCCATCTCCCGTACAGAGAAAGATGGGGTTGTGGTCTGAGCTTCCCTCTTGCATGGCGCCGATGGTGGTGCGCATGTCGATTTCCTTCAGAATCGCCATATCTATGACGTCTGGTCTACCTCCGTTTGCTGGGGGTATATGTAGGTTCGTCCGGACCTATATGGTATATCCAGGTTCATTCCATTAGTCTTTCCAGAACAGCGCCGTGACTGTTTCTGTTTCTTGAGCCCAAATGGTGGACTTCGCGTTTAGATCACCTACGATCACGGTACTGTTTCCCAGTGCAGTGATTACAGGTGACATCTTCCAGATATTACGGACTTCTTCTATACATATATATATATATATATATATATATATATATATATATATATATATATATATGAGAGAGAGAGAGAGAGAGAGAGAGAGAGAGAGAGAGAGAGAGAGATAGATGAAAAGATTAAAATAACGACCACAGCTAATTATCATTTTGCATTTTATCATAACATAGTGGTTCTGAAAAGAACCGTTTTTTTTTTGTTCTTATTTTTCGAACCGTATAACCGTCGAAGCGAATACAACGTCTATATTATTTTGAACTGGTGTACTTGGTGACGGCTTTGGTACCTTCGCTGACTGCGTGCTTGGCCAATTCTCCCGGTAGCAATAGTCGTACGGCTGTCTGAATTTCTCTGCTAGTTATCGTGGCACGTTTGTTGTAATGTGCCAATCTGGAAGCTTCCGCAGGCGATACGTTCGAAATATCGTTGACGAAGCTGTTCATGATGCTCATCGCTTTGCTGGATATACCCGTATCGGGATGTACCTGCTTCAGTACTTTGTAGATGTAAATTGCGTAACTTTCCTTCCTCCTGCGCTTCTTTTTCTTGTCAGATTTTGAGATATTCTTCTGCGCCTTGCCCGCTTTTTTGGCAGCCTTACCGCTAGTTTTGGGTGGCATTTTATTGTGAGATGATGCTGAGTATAATCGACACCAACGCTCGACTAACGGAACGATGGAAAAGGAACAGGAACACAAAGTTCCTAAGCGAACCCACCACCTCCCCGGTCCAGGTTACCTCACTCTTTCCGGCCCCAGTGGCGGTTGGTACGTGGACTGGACGCTCCTGCAACTTGTGTTCCTGGTCGGACGCAAACCCCACCCCCCACCCAATTTTGCCCTTAAATTTTTCGCCGCTTTTCCCCCCCTCGGAATTTTGCCCCGCCGAAAGGTGTGGTAAGCTAATCACGACGCGGAAGCACGGCTGCAGAACGGAAGTGGTCATTTATACTCGTGTACCTTTCTCCGGTTTTACGAGTCGTCCTCTATTTGGGGTTCCATCGGTGGGACCTTGACCTGAGGTCGCCATTAAGGTTTCCCAAGACGGCTTTGGGTTCTTCGGTTTTTTGATCTTCTTTCTTGAGTGTTGCCTCCTGACCACGCCGACAATGCCGAAGTCGTCAGAAGGCCCGGCTTGTTAGTGCCATCTAAATGCCCCGCACCTCAAATGAGATCGGTGCATTCAGCATGCAAATCTTCGCCGTCTGACCACCGGTACTGCACAGGACTTTGCCTATCTTGCATGCAGTACCTTCCTCGCGAGGTTCTACCCCTCTTCTTAGGACTCATCAGCTGCTGTGTCCCATATCTTCTAGCAGCTGGCTCTCGGTCTTTTGTGCCTATGTATGAACCTTGGATCGTAGTCCAAGGCGGCCTTGATGAGCTGGTTCTCGTGTTCTTCGGCGTTGTTGAAGAACTTCCGAGCTCTGGTCTTCATCACTTCGAGCACTGGCAATTGTCTCAGGTCTTCGTTATAGCACTCGGTTTTGGCACTACCACGGTGCGTTGACCGCTTCTCGGAGTGCTATGTTGGTTGTGCTTGGAGCTTCTTCTTCCACGTCTTGGCTGCGTAGCCCCAAAGCAAACTGACGCGTAGGTCATTAATCGGTAGGAGCACCATCTTGATCAGCAGCATTTTGTTGTTCAGGAGAGCTTGCTCCTTCCTTCCAAGCATCGGTCTTAGCTTGGCTCTTGCCATCTTGGCTTTCTGCACTTGGGCTTCTATATGGTGTTTCCAGGTGAGACCCTTATCTATCTTGACGCCGAGGTACTTGCTGGTGTCTGTCCCTGTACTCTTTTTCTTCGTCACGCACCAGGCCTCTCAGCACTTCTGTGGTTGTCATCTTGAGGTTGCCTTCAGGGGTCTTGCGGCTCTTCATGAGGAGCATCGCCTCGGTCTTATCTGGATTTAGCTGGATCCTCCCATTTCTGCACCATTCCTGTAGACGGTTGTCGCTCTTTGTAGGTAAGTCGTAGCCATGCGGGGCTGAAATGACTCGGCTACGTACGCAGTGTCGTCCGCATACATCAGCAGCTGCGTATTTGGGGTCTTCGGAACGTCGGAGCTGTAGATGGCGTATAGTAGAGGGGATAGGACCGCTCCCTGCGGTACCCCAGCCTCTGCAGTTCTGGTCGTCGAGGTGGTGTTTCCCAGTCTAACCCGGAATCTTCGGTTCTTCAGATATGACTTCACCAGCTGAATCATCCCTGTCGAGTATCCCTTGTCTTGCATCTTATAGATGAGTCCGTAGTGCCAGACGTGTCAAATGCCTTCGCGACATCATGAACACCGCCCCCGCGACTCGCCGAGCCTGGAACGCACGCGTCCCACACTCCACGAGCCGAAGCAGCTGGTGCTCTGATGAATGGCCGCTCCGGAATCCGAACTGTTCGTCTGGCAGTACTCTAAGGTCCTCGGTTTGTTGTCTAAGTCTTCGCTCGATTGCCCTTTTCTGCAACTTTACTCAAGGAAGTTAGTAAGCTGATTGGCCGGTAGTTTTGTGGGAATTTGGGTCTTCCCAGGCTTCGGGATGTTTATTACTTCCGCGATCTTCCATCTGTCCGGGAAGTATCGGTGCCTCAGCATAGCGTTCACGATGTTGGTTATGGCCACCATGCCCTTTCTCGGGAGCCTCTTCAGGATTCTGTTCCCTATTCGGTCGCAGCCCGCTGCTTTCTGGTCTTTAGAGTCTTGATGATGTCCCTGATTTCCGTCGGGGAGGTGGCTTGCTGCACCATTTCTCCTCCTCTCGTAGCTCTTCTGGATCTTCTTTCCACTTCTTCTACGAAGTCTTCGTCCTCATCTGGGTGCATGTATGTCGTACACTGCCGTTGTAAGTTATCTGCGAATGCTTCGACCTTCTCGTCGTTCGTGTACGCGGTCCCGTAGGCTCCTTGCAGCGGGGGAACTTGTTGTCTGCGATTTCTCAGGATCTTCGCTAGCTTCCACATTCCTGGCTCACCTGGTGTTAGTTCCTCTAATTTTCTTTGCCAGCTGCGTTGATGGTGCTCCATCAGGGCTTTTCTCATCTCTTCGGTCTTCCTTTTTAGCTCTCGTTTGTGTTCTGGGTCTCCTGTTCGTTGAGCTAGTCTTCTTGCCCTGTTTCTGTCGGTGATCTTCTGGTTCACCTCTGGGGGTAGGTCTCTGAACCTGTTGGGCGCGTGATGTCTTCTACCGTGGTAGTAGCATCTAGCGCGTCCTGGATCTTCCGTTCTAGGCCCTGAACTGCTTCCTCTATGCCTTCAGGAGTCTCTATCTGAGGTAGTGGGCCGAGTGAGTAGTGAAAGGTTCGCCGGAACCGGTCCCAGTTCACTCTTCTGGCTATCCTCTTCTCCACGTTTGGTGCTCCCTCTCCTATTTCCAGGAATATGGGGTTGTGGTCAGAGCTTCCTTCTTGTAGAACACCAATGTTGCAAGACACGTCTACCTTTTTCAAGATAGCAATGTCTATTACATCAGGCCTTGTACCGTTGTCTGGGTACAGCGTGGGTTCGTCAGGTCCTAGTATGGAGTACTCCGGTTCATCCATCAGCCTCGCAAGGATTTCGCCATGTCTGTTGTTCGTGCGCGAGCCCCAGATCCTAGATTTGGCGTTCAGATCTCCTATGATGACAATGCTCTCGCCCATTCCGCTGATTTGCGTGATGTCGTCCATATGCAGAGTCACCGTTGGTGGTATATATACCGAGATGATGTTCAGCGTGCCGTAGTCCTCCGTGTACACGGCTATTCCTACTGCTTCTGTAGTCCTCAGATCGGGGATTCCTAGCAGGTCGTGGCTGATGCTGCTCCTTACGGAGATCAGCACGCCTCCGCCTCTCTGGTCTCGGTCCTTCCTGTACGTCGTGTACCCTGGGAAGGTCCAGTTTGGAACTCTGCTTGAGAGCATTGTCTCTTGTAACGCCATCACATCGTAGTCCCCTCGAGTTAGCAGTTCTCCTATCTCGTACTTCTTGTTGGAAGCACTATGTACGTTCCAACTCAATATCCGTAGGGTCCTAGATGTTGGCAGGCTGCCCATTTAGTTGGCGTTTCTTCTGTTCTTGCTTGTCATGAATGC